ACATACAGGAATAACTGTATGCATGAACCATGTCTATTGCCAGAGTCAGAGAGCTATCTGAGTGGTTTCCTATAAATGTGGAGTTCGCTAAAAGATGAGCCCGCGCATCTGTTCGCAATATTTTTCTTTGAAACAATGCAAATCCTGGGGAAGATGAAGGTAACATTCTAGAGAGAAAGCGCAGATCAAGATAAGCTACATGTTTTGCTGACCTAGAGTAAGCAGATGATATTGTCCTGGTGAATAGTGCGGAAAACGCATTCTGAACGACTTCCTTATTCGACAGTATGGCCTTTCCTTTAACGCCCGGCAGTCAAAAGTTATTAAAACCCGGCACAGCAGATCAACAAATGGAACAGGAAAGTGATTCAGGAGGTTACCAGTCTAAGTATCTCAGGTTCATCATCTCCAACGATGGTAACATCCAGAGAGAGGATCGTAACATGTTCGAGGGATTTTGGAAACCTGTCCGGTATTTGGGCTGAGAACGGAGTCATTCTTCCCAAGGAATTCACCGTGCCTTGCCTCTATAAGGTCGATGTTGTGGTAGACATGGACAAAGTTATTCTAACGGAGTAAGAACGATGGTCAAACTGAGCAGAAAAGCGTGAGCTTCGACGACCGAGATTAAATGACAGGATGACGCAAAGAATTATTCGATTCTGTTCCAGGCATAACTGATCTCAGTAGATGTGCAAATTAAGAAAAGGAGAGTGACCCTGTTAGATAAATTGGATAAAAACACACTATTTCCTCCAGCCGATGCTTTTCGTAAGAGAGCTAAAACACGGTAGACATCGACCAGAAAGCCAGTATGCAACATGGAGGAACAATAACGTAGGCAGATGTTCAGAGAGCAATATTTTCTACAATGCAGTAACTGGTGCATCGTAGCAAAACTACGTAAAGCTGCGGATACAGGCGGGTGTTACAAAACAGAGACCTACTTATCAAGGTAGTGATCTCAACTAACACAAACAAGTTCTCTGCCATTCAAATTCCATTTAATATTAGAACAGAAACAATTATAACATCATTCAGTAATGACGCATCGTAGATTACGACCATAGAGAAATAAGATAAACTAAATATTTCTGACTTATGAAATCTACCTAGCAGAAGGATCACCCACACTTTAGACCATATTGCAGCTGCTTAAAGG